AAATATTGTGAAATATTCACAATTGATTAAGTTTTTTATAATGTGTCTTGAATTATATTTTCTATGTGTATTTGTAATTGTATTAATCAATTAATAATTTCGTATGAATCAATATATTTGCATATTGAAAAAAGCATGCATCCAGAGACATGCATTTTTTCATATTCACTTGTGTTTAAAATATAGAAAAACACATTTTCTAATGTATCGAGAATTCGATATTTTTTAATGTCCACCTTTTGGTCACTTAAAACTTTTTTTTTTTTTAAATTGGAAATTTTTGGTCGGGGATTCTACATCGAATTTCATTTTTCCACACATGCCCTTTTAATCTAGTTTTTTGTTACAGAAGTGGAATACAAAAATAAGAAGACAGAAGACAAAGATTATTGGCAAGATCGATTCTAGTGTTTGTAGTTTGTGTTGTCGTAGTAGTGTGGTGGTGGGTTTTGTATCTGAATATATGAATGTATGAATGTAATGAATCTATTTGTGTGTGTGTGTGTTTGTGAACAATTTTTACTGATTCTTTTTTTTTATAAATCTTTTTACATTGTTTCTATTCACAGGTAGAAATATTGTTAATAGCATCTGAAGAGGACTAGTCTTAGATAGAATTATATATCAAAAGATAAGATAATAAAATAAATGATTGATTTATGATGTTATAATAAGATGAGTAATGCAAAAAGAATTTGTTAAATTATTTTAATCTTATGAAAGAATAAAATATAAATTTAATAATCATGAAAATATTTTGATCCAACGAGAAATTAAAATATTTTTATCAGATTTTAAATAATATTAGGAGTATTTTTTATAACATTACGAATTCTTATTATTATTAAAATAATAGTCAATGCACGTTAGTGCACATGAATGCGTGCGTGCGTGCGTTCATATTGTAACACTTTGCGTGTTACATTGTAAGTTTACATTTTTGCGTTTGTTTAGTAGGAACTTGCGTTTGTTTAGTAAGAACTTGCGTTTGTTTAGTAGAAACTTGCGTTTGTATAATAGGAACTTGCGTTTGTATAATAGGAACTTGCGTTTTATATTATTTAAAGTTCCAAGCGAATCTACGTCACAGCTTTGACATGTTTGCGTTAATTTAGGATTGTAAATCGGGTAGGTAGGTCGATTTAAAACGATGTACATGATTTTTCATCTAACTTTAAATAATAAGTTGGATAAAAAATTTGGTGACACGTTTTTCCGGTTGAATTTTAGAAATTAATTTCTTTCTAACAAATGACTAATGAAATATGTACTAGTAGTTAGAAAGATAATAATAGAAGTAGAGTCTTAGCCCGTGGGTCTCCGAACACAGCAACCTTCTCGCGGTGAGACCTGGGTCGATATTACTTGTGATCTATTTTATCTAATTGTTAATTATGTAACGCAAGTACTATCGGGCGAATGGCTGTGTTAGATTCAATGTAAAATCTATTTACATGTTTAAATTATTATTAACTTTCTTTGGTCCTTCTGACACATGAATTTTATTAAAAATAATCAAATGAATCTTAAATTTATCAAATCATTTGTTAAACTAGGAAATGTATATATATATATGAAAACAAGTATTTAAAGTGTGTTGTGTGTGTGTGTACGTGTGCGTGTGTTTGTTTACTGTGTAATCCGTATTCTCACTGACTATTACAAGTGTAGAAAATTTGAAAAAGAAATCAGAGGAAGGTGGGGTCTTACCTTACTCTTCTCTGGTAAGTAACTTACTCACTAGCATAAACAGTAAGAGAAAAAGAAGAAGGAAGGGGACGTGGGAACGTTCATTTATTCTACTGTAGTTGAACTTTAGATAGCATCAGTGAGAATACAAAAGAGAACAAGTATCCCTCCTGACAGCAGTTTCACGTGCGCTATTTACTTCATTAGTGTAATTAGAGTATAAGCTTTACGTAGCCGAACAAGACGAAGAAAGAAAAATAGAAAAGAAGGCGAAGGCGAAGGAAGAAAGAAAGAAAGAAAGAAGAGGAAAAGGAGAAGGGCCAAAGGAGAGGGCCAGGGGAAAAAATTTAATTTAAAACTCGTTCTCTGCGCACTGTCTACGTGTTAGAGAGAATTAACTCTTCTCAATTACCGCAACATTAGGTAAATTACGGTTCAACGGCATCACATTTTAATCAAGATAATTTGCAACGCCTTTACTTTATTCTTAATCCTAGCTAACCCAAAAGTCTCCTAGATCAACTGGTATAATAATACGTATGTATATATATATAAGTATAAATATACAGAATGATCTGTAACTGATAGTTCAAGCTAAAAGATGGTGAGATTTTACATAAAAAAATAAAATCAGCCCCTTTTCGTTTGTACCACCAGTTACAGATCACCCTGTATATATATATTATATATGCTTAGGACACTTATCAACTAAACTCTCAAATCTATACATATGTATACATATACACGTTAAGATAATAAGCTAATTGGATAGTAATGCCATTCATGTTTGCATTAATTAACAAAGATGTTATTCGTATCGTTGGTTTTGATTTAGTATTTGGTATATAAATACATGTCGATATACATTGACGAGTTTTACATTTGAAAATTCATTTTAACATACACCAACGCGCTGATCAATACACACCCTGTCGATTTATCAGAGAAACCAACCGTTACACAACCAGATTTATACAATTATCCCGAGTAATAAAGCACTAATGACTCACTGGGCAAAATAATACGATATTTTACGCTATTTTACTTGCATACTATTTATTTCGTTGATCACACTCTCTGTTTCTATCTTCTATTGACGTCGTATCACGTCAGATAATACTTTTTCAAATTGTAACACGATAGTTCGATTATACGGGACGCCCCATATAATATTCCAATCGCGTTTTAAGATAAATCGTTGTTATACTATATTCTCGTATCCTTAATCACATTAAAAATAAAAGAAACCAGTATCCAGTTAACACTAAACATACTATGACTGATTGTAAATTTTGTATTTCAATTCTTCATTCAATGTTTTATTACTGTGCATCATTTTTTGACTTTACGATAATTGCAATCATTAATTTTTGTCGAAGATCTGTTATTTTATTGGCCATTTTACTGGTTACGGTAGACATCCTTTTTTATTTCTATATTCGTCTATTTTATGGGTTTCATTTGAAATCTCATCACGTAATTACGTTTACGTATTATCAAAATATAAATGACAATTAAAACTTATGTAAAAATTGTTTAAACGATTTTTTTTTTTTAGATTTGACATTCGATTTATATCACGTTTGAAAAGATATAAAAGAAGTCCGGCAATATTGGATAGGAAGGACATGAACCACTCTTGATGATATGAATACTTTTAACAAAAATAACGAAAATAACAAACCACATGTATTCAGTTGAAATTTGCTTTTGCAACACGTCAAATTTGAACATACTAGTATAGTATATATGATCGAGAGAATGACGATTCAAAGCCGCTCAAAGGCGAGATAAAGGGCGGAACGCGAAACTGGTTTTGGGTGTCGAAGAAACGACGAAATGGGGGAAACCACATTAAACGTCGATACGAAGCGAACTATGACATGACAGAACCTCGATACTTCAAAATGTCCCAAAAGCATATTGAGAATACCATAGGTTTCCATTTCTGCCACATGAAACCATTTCCGACCGTTCACTTGATTACTGTTAGTTCAATAATTCTTAATTCATTTGCGTATTGCCATCTTTTGAATGCTCTATTACGATAAATAATTCAATTTCAAATGTTCAGATGGATTTGTTAAAAATAAATTCTGCATATCAAATAAAACATCAGATTGATATTGTTTAGTATTCAAAGTACATTAACGTCATAACAGGTCATTTTATTTCGTATTTATAATTTCGTATTACATAATTTCGTATTAACTAAAATATACATTTCCTTTAATTAATTAACAATTATTTAAAATATATGTCCAATACTTTAATGCACTCTGCTTATATTTCAGATTGTTTAAGCACATATATCGGTTAAGCACATTTACTTGAAATAATAAATAAGTACTTAGAATAATAAATAATTTCAATCTGGCATTCTGTTAAACGAAAATTTTCGCCTCGAAGTCATCACTGCACAGGAACGATTAAATAATTACATTAAAATAAACAAAATGTATAAATTAGAACTTTATAATCTTAAATTTTCTTTATTAGAAATATTATTACATTTGTACGCATGTGTAACATTCGAAAAATTATATAAACAACATCGTATAAAAGAATTTTGACAGAGGACGACGTGCCAGTCTGAAGGTGAATCTCGTAGAGGACGGTGCTCTGATCATATACTCGGTGTTTTTTTGGTAACAAAACATTCCTTTCGAGTAATTAATAATTATTTAATCATCTATTGCACAATTTTCTCATTTTTTTTTTTTTAGACTTTTTCAATTAAAATACTTTTGTTTGAATGTTTCTAAATTAACAGGTCCTTTTATTATACATGTAAATTTAAAAAGTGGTGTAAGTCCAGTTTAAAAAAAAAGAACAAAAAGAGATATCACGTAATTTATGCTTAATTTAATGTAAACTTTTTATGGATAACTAGTTAATATTTAATTTCTTAAAAAGTGCCCATGTTTTGTACAATTTAAAATTGGTTGAAAACCTTTAATTTTCTCGAAACAAAAGAAAGTGGACTTACACCACTTGCTAAATACACGGTCCATATAACTTATATTAGACCACTTTTATGATTATTGTCAAATATATAAAATACTTTGATATATTTCATATGTTTAAATGATATTTCGTTATTTCAGATTCCAGCAATGTAAAAAAAAAACCTGAAGAAAAATAAATAAAAAAATCCTTTTTCGTGCAGTTATTCGAATCATCTCGAGTATTGTAAATGATTAAGTATTGCGTTAATACTTATCAATGAGAATGTGATATTGAAAAAGAATACTGACATTATCAAAACGAAAAAAAAAAAGAGAGAAAGAAAGAGATAAAGAAAGAGAACTTGTGTAATATCGTATTTAAAAGCGAGAGAACAGATAAGAGAGAATCATTCTAATCAAAGCACAGTGTCTGTTTAGTATAAAACATGGTACTTTAATTAAGTGTCGATCAACTGTATCGTTTTTGAATACGATAGTACGCATGATATTCATTTGATTGAAATAGATACGAGAAGGTATTTGAATAAACGAAAAAAAAAAAAGAACAAAAACAAGAGCTTTTTTAAGTAAGACGATCTTTGAATCACATTGCGCGCTAGTGCTGCGAGAGAACTTGTAAAACTTGCCAACAAAATGGATCTCAACGTGTGACTGCGATTGAAAGTGTCGTATCTTGTATGAATTTATACCCCGTGACGTAAAAGTATCTTACCGTCTATAAAGAGTTGAAATAAATAAAGGACAAGATGAAATAATAAGAAAAGGACAAAAAATATCGAAAGGAGTAGAAGAAAAAGTACATAACGTGTGTTTGATGTATGTGGTGTTGTGTACAAGAGAGAGGCAGAGAGAAAGTGTATTTTCTCCATTACGCTTTCGATCTCTGGGTGGGGAAAATCAATAGGGAAAAGCAAGTTCAATAAGCGAGCATGGCTAGAATATAACTTACGATTGATATATAAACTGTACTACTATCTTGATTATTTTGATCGTTTCGAATTCAATGTCGAATCGAATGAAATAGTTGTTGTTGTTGTTGTTAACAACGTTAGACGAAGACGATATATTACGAGATGAATTATTGTCGACGTCAGGAACAACAACGACGACTCCATGGGGAAAGAAGAAGATGTGATTATTATGGGTGTTTGAAGAAAGTTTTGCGTTAAAAGAAAAACATGTTAGAATTAACTGTAATTGTATTAAATTCTTGACATCGACGATTGACGAAATAACGTTAAATTTTCGATGTTTATTAAGTTTCTAAGGAATATGATGATTCGACGTTGGTGGTACGTGTTTTTAAACATTGCATTGTGCATAATATTGCAGTTAGATTGTGTCGAATCTACTCACATAACTGGCACTTTCGACACCAAGGAGTTCTTCCGTTTTTTGATTAAATTTGGCTTCCAAAAAACTGATCGTCACAGACAGAAGGACACATCAGGATATATATTTGGAAATATCACTAGCAAATTGAACTTTACTGTACCAATAACATTGGCTGTTCTTGATCGTAGTCATTTTTTGGAGTACTATGGTAATAGGACTGTAATAGATAAAAATATTGCATGTACTCTAATGTTTAATACTCTCAATCAGAGTTCATATGATCCAAATTGTAATGATGAAGGTCAAGATTTTCTAAGGTACGTAGATACTAAAGAGTATCATAAAATACAAATGTATTTTAAAAAAAGTTAATCATTGTTATTTCTTACATTATGTTTCTTTCTTTATTATTAAAAGGCGAATACCTTGTCCTAGAGGAAAATTGTGTCAAGACGAAGATTCTATATGGAATATTGTAAAGGGACATCAATTCACTTATGTTATACAGGACTTTTGGCAACCACGTTTCTGGTATATGAGTATAGTAGCATGTTATAGAAATGCAACAACATGCCAGTGGGAATATTATGATAAGCATGACATATTAGAGTATGATATATGGCTAGTAAATGGCAATCCTAATACTAGTGGCCTGAACAGCCTTACTTATCAGTTCTCCTATGACAGGCAGAATACCATAGAACTATATTTACTGTTCTTTGTGTGCTATATTATATTAGTTCCGCTGCAATTATACGCAGCAAGATTACAAAAACACCCTGTGACACGATTATTTACGGCTAGCTTATTATTAGAATTTGTTGCAGTGTGTTTAATTTTAATACACGTGTTAAAATTTTCTCTCGATGGAGTTGGCTACGAACAATTAGAAGTTGCTGGCGATATTTTTGATATTCTCTCACGGGTAAGAAAAGTGTGTGTTTAATATGTGGTAGAATGTAAACAACAACGTTAAACCTAAAAATACACAAGCATGCATGTATTTACACCGATAGAATATCATTCATTTCATTCATATATGTGTGCAGGCTTTTGAATCTTTTTATAAACCATCAATGTAATTTACTTTTTCTATTATTATAGGCATCATTTATGTTACTTCTACTTTTACTTGCTAAAGGATGGGCTGTAACTCGAATGGAATTAACATGGAAGCCTTTAGTTTTTGCTATATGGTTATGTTATGGAATAGTACACATTCTACTATATGTTTGGAATATGGTAAATTTTAATCATTGTAATTAAATCTATTGTCAACAAAATGTATTGCACATGTAATATTTTTGTAGACGGAAGTTGACATTGTTGAAGACATTGACGAGTACCAAACTTGGCCAGGATGGTTCATTCTTTTATTCCGTAGTGCTATAATGATTTGGTTTTTATATGAACTTCGAAATACTATGACGTATGAACATAATACTCAAAAATTAAACTTTCTTTTACACTTTGGTGCATCATCATTAGTTTGGTTTATTTATTTACCAATAATAGCTCTTATAGCGCTTCAAGTAAGTGCTTTGTGGAGGTTTAAATTATTATTGGGTAAGTTTTCTTTAAGAAGAGTTTATACGTACGAAACAACACATGTTGCAATATACACATTCTGTAACAACCAATATATACACCTAACCGGTTTAACAATAACAATAATAAATTTTTAGGTATAACATACTCAGCAGATTGTTTTGCTTATTGCGTAATGGCACATTTGTTATGGCCAACACGAAGCGAACAGTACTTTTTACTCGCTCAAGGTGGAGATAATGGTGATGAACTTGATGAATTCAATGAAGCACCGCATGTATTAAATAATTATGTGGAACCACCAGAACTCAGTAAAATAATCACTTAATATTTAAATCTTAATAATGAGGTAAAATATTGAAAAAGTAAATATTCAAAATGTGATGTATATTTGCCAAATGGTAAAAAAACATAGAAAATTGGTAATACTTTGATCTGTGCTATTTGAGACTGAAATGTGCTGCACATTCTGTAATTAATATATGTATATCATTGATCAGATTGAAATATGTAATAGAAGTCAATAATCTACGCGAAAAAAAGATAAAATGAAGAAACATAATATTAAGATCAGTTTATTATGATAATTTTTTACTTAGAGAGGATAAAAAGTAATGATAATTGATTTATTTTGTACTAATTCATAACACACAGATATATCAGGTGCATAGTGTATAATAGAATAATATAAAAAGAGTCATTCTTCATTTTAAACAAATGTTTCAAACTCGTATCAAATTTTTATCGTTGTGAACATTTTTTTAATTATTTTTATTTTTATTTGACTTCAATATTTCACCTATCTATCATATACTTACTATATAACATATACATACACATAAATATTATAAAAATAATCACACGACTCTATATGGTAGATTTTATAATTTTATAGTAATCTACATGATAGAATTTTCTTGCAATAATACTCTCTTTCTTTCTTTTTGTTCTTTTTTCTTTTTTTCTTTTTTTTTATATTTTATTAGAAATTTTATTATTCTATACTATAAAAAAAAAAAAAAATCTATTTTAGTGTGTGCTTGAAAGAGAATGATTATACATAGTTGTTTACATGATTGGGTGGTTTTATAATTACAATAAGATGGGAACATGACTAAACAGCCATGAAATAACTAGTTGGGTACAAAAAAACTGAATACATTAATTTAATAAGAATAACATCAGTATTATATATACTGCAAATATACTTTATAACAGTTTTATTACTGCTACAAATACGAACACTGAAACAATTACTATAAATAGTTATGGCTCTTTAGTAGTTTTGTATTCTTCAGATTATATATATATATAGAGAGAGAGAGAGAATTGTCATGCAGTAAGTTATCTGATTTTAATTTCAATCCAAACAGAGTAAACGCAGTTTCATTCAAAACTGAGAATTGTCTAGGACATTACTACTACTATTTTGTAATTGAAAAAAATCCACGATTAAAACTTTTTGATTATTTTTAACTGCCTGAAGAAAGTATAAATTCTATGTGATGATTTTATTAGAATATAGATAAATATATATGTATATTATACGAAACAAATGATTATTATTAAATATTGTTAAATTTGTCCTTAGAAATTAATGTTTTTATTCGTTTTTGTTTTTTCTTTTATTATAAATTCAATTATACTCTTTTTCTCTCCATTAGGATATACGTTATATTAGTGTATACAAAGTAGTAAAAACGAATCAATGACTATGAATTAAAAATTTATATTTGTAATATTACTTTTGACTAGTTGTACATTATTTAATAACACAAACAATGTTGCTCAATCTTGTAATAAATAAGGTGATAGAGAAGTATACACAAATATACACACTGTCTTTAGAAAAATTTTGAGCTCCATGTTGTATGTATTGAAATATTGGTGCAATGTTTCTAATATCTTGATATTATTGTAGAAAATCAGATAATAGATATATCTTAGACAGAATGATTGAAAAAAAAAGGTCTATCGCGTCCTTAATAAAAAAAAAAGTAAATAAAATGTTTCACAGAATCAATTTTAATGAATATTTCATTCAAATATATAAACCTTGAATAGAAAAATACACGTGATGATGAAATTTTGATAAATTTGATTCAAAATCAAATCAAATATATTAATAACACTTTACAAGTGTATTTTTACTCGTGTTTTGTGTGCTCAACAAATTCTATTGTGTTTCAATCATAAACATTTCAATTATTTATATATAAATATATGTGTGTGTGTGTGTAGTTTTATCCTGTAGTTTATCAGCAATCAGTTTAACATTCAAATAATTGTGAAATTATCTTATCTTATTATAAAACGTGTTAGAACAATTTTTCATTCATCTATGTTAATCAAAAGTGTGTAAATCATTTTCATATTTTCACATAATTCATTGTCAAGAAATATATTGTACAAATGAATGTCAATATGAATTCTAGTTTTTCATATTGTTAAATATACAACAGTAAATGGGAACTAAATAATGTTTTAAGTAATTTTTTTTGCATGTAATAAAATATTAAATTATTTAGCCTTTTCTTTTTAAGTCTTATACGTATGAATGATATAAATGAAAAAAATTGAAGAAAAGTCCTTTTATTTGTTCAAAAATTATAAGAAAATGTATTATTTGTCTACAATTCCTTGGAATTTTATAACAATTGTAAATGAGAAGTAACCCTATTTACTTCTGTACTTAGATCCGGTCCAATTCCAAGTACTGAAATAGTTCCAGGTTTTAATTGAGTTCTACCCGCATCTTTTATTACCGCTGTGACTAGACCAATTTTTTTAGCATTCTGTTCTAACTCTAATAATTTATATTCACTTGATACTTGAAGAACTACTTTTGGTTGACCATTATATAACCAACTTCGAAACATATACTGTTTCATTGGATTAATTGGTGTATTTCTATAACATTCTACTGCGGCATGAGCACATTGTGCAGCTATTTTTCCTGTACCCATAGATATATCAGTTCTTACTACAATAACCATTTTATAACTTGCAGCTGGCAATACTCGAAAAAGGTTAGGCATTACTTGTTTAAATATCAACGACATGATTACAAAATGTTAGTTAATTAACTTGAATTTTGTTTACGTTTATATTCTTCCATACAAACTTTAAACTTTTGTACAAGATCCTGGCACTTTCTCCAATCTCGGGTTTCAGCAATACATTCCTTAAATTACAATAAATGTATTGCAATTTATCAGAGATGATGAATGAAATGAAACGAAACACAATCTTTTTTCAATGTTATACCTGAATTTGATAATGCAATTCAATGCAACCAGTCTTTTTTAATGCTTGTTCAACTGGATCTTGATCATAACCTGTCTGAACTTCAGCTTGTTTTACTATCATGTTATTTATAAATAATATGTCAATTATATTRTTATTATTATTATTTAATAATTAAATCGATAATTAAAATGATATTAGAATTAAAATAAATGATATGATAATGTTTCTATAAATGATTCAATATTCCATTAAACAACTCGTGATTCACACAGGAAATAAACCTACATACACATGTACATATTTGACCATGCAATGAATGCAACGAATGCAATGATTTACAAAATGAATCAAAATCCAATAAAATAGATGTTTTATTTGTTTTTAATTTTAAAATAGATTAATATTGTTTTTGCTTGAATTTTTTAATTAATTAAATAATAATAAATTGATATGTAAATAAAAGTAATATTTGAATTCGTAGATGACGCTGTTAAATCTAGTTTGTCGGTGTCCATTCTAATATCTTTTGTAAACTATGTTTGGAACGAGTAGAAGTAGCCAATGAATTTAGTTTTTCAAATATATGTAAGGTAAGCAATAATTTGATTTTCTTTAAACGATTAAAAGTAATAGATTATTTTTTTAATATATTTTTAAATTTATACGTTTTATTTAGTTTAATTATTAAAATCGTTGTATACTTTGTAATTGTTTGATCAAATGTGTATGTGTTTGTATGACTTGTCCAAAAGAAGGTTGGAATAATATTTCGGGAAAGTTATCTTATCATATATATTTGTGTATTACGTGTATTTTATTCGCTAGACGAACAATTTATAATTCCAAAATAATTTGCTATTAATGAAACTTGAAAAAAATTAATTAAATTAAATTTGGCGGTATTTAGCTTATAGGATTGAAGAAGAATTAGTAAAAAGTTCAAAGTTCTATGTGATTATTTGTGTGAGCAGTCTGTGTTGTATCCTTAACCATATTTATTAATTTTAATTGACGGTACGTCCAATACAAATAACATTTTAACATTTTTTTTTGTTTTTCTAAATAAAACCAATAGAAATAATGAAAATAATTAATCATCATACCAATTTGTAGTGGTATTCATTTTAAATTCCAAATATTTATTTTACAGTTGGAAAAATGTCAGAACAATTTGTTGGGTGTACAGTTTCTGTCACATGTGTAGATGATCTTGGTATTTATCAGGGTCAAATAATAGATTTAAATAAACAAAGTGTGACACTTTCAAAGGCTTTCTGTAACGGTGTGCCGCATACTTCGTCTGTAGTTAGTTTAAAGTAAGTCTCTAACGGATGTGTGCTCATTACAAGTTTCTAATTAAGCCCATATTGTATTATCGCATTATTTGATTGTAGTGTTAAGGATATAATCAATGTGGAAATCATTTCTACCAAAGAAACTAGCTCCAGTATTAATGATATGCCGCAGCAAAGTAAAGTAACGGTTAAAAGACCAATAGCCAAAAGAGCTGGTCGATCATTTTCTGAAAGTGTACCACCTTCTACGCATTCCGGTGGAACGCAAACATCATCAAATGTTAGAAAATCTGTTGAACCGGCACAGCAGCAACAATCTGAACTTGCAACTAATGGCAAAATGGGATCAAGTATATTATATTTTTTTTATAAGGTTTTAAGCGTTACGCGTATTATTGAAATTTAACAATATTAATAAACATTCAATAATTCCTACAGCTGAAGCTAATTGTAAGCCAACTCAGAAAAGACTTACTCATAGACAAAGAGCACTTGAAAGAGATGAGCATACCTTTGGTACTCCTATTGATCAATCCTTGAGCCAAGATTTCGATTTTGAAAAAAACTTAGCATTATTTAACAAAGAGGTTTGTGTTAAAGTCTTTATCTTTTAGGCTAATCAGTTAATTATTCCAAAATAGTAATAATAATAATAATAATAATAATTTTGTAGGCTGTGTGGCAAGAAATAAATTCACTTAAGCCAGATATCGTTAGGCAGTCAGAAAATAATAGAGGCTTAGGTGGTAAATATCGTCACGATGAGAATATCATTGTTTCGGAACCTACAGCCTTTAGGCAGATAGTTGTACCTGCGACCGGTGAAAAAGAATATGTTACCGATGATGGCCTAGTAATTCCGAGTATCACTCTTGATCTTCATCGTCAATTAATTGGTGCAGCAGATCGACTCGGTATTAGTTGGGAACGAAGGGTATGAAGGAAGTTTGAATGATATTACAATAGTTAATAGTTATATGAAATTTGTAAATTCATGTAAACTATACCTATACCACCTGTAGGTAGAACTTCTTGGACGTGCAGGAGCAGAAATTATTCTACAACTTCTTGGCGGAGGACATAGACTTAATCCAAATAATGCTCATCAATGGCCAACCGTTGTAGCACTTTGTGGGCCAAACAGATCGGGAGCTGCTGGTGTTAATTGCGCACGACAATTATCTAGTCATGGTGTTAAAACAATCGTATTTGTCGAAAATTCCGAAGACGTATTTCTTCTACAAGAATTATCACTTTATAGATTGACAGAAAACAAAGTAGAAACTAAAGTTAAAAACTTACCCTCTGTCGTAGATTTAATTCTTGTTGCATTGTGCGATGAAAATTCTTCGAAAATGTTTACTCCAGTAACTCTATGGGCAAATAATAACAGAGCACTTATTTTAGCTATTGAACCACCATCTACAGGTACACCAGGAATTATAAGTAAATTTAGTTTAGTCGGTGCATTACCGCTATCTCACAGTCTTGACAATGGTAGATTATATCTTTGTAATCTTGCTCTACCGAACAAAGTTTATTCTGATGTTGGAATTACCTATAGGTCTCCTTTTGGACCAAAATTTGTCATTCCTTTGCATTCCAATGATTCCTAGCAAATTTTTAATCAATATGTTGATTCTACAAACAATATTTTCAGATTTTAAAAGTTCTACTGATTTTGTTCTTTAGCATTGTATACAATTGAAATAGGTATACCATGTCACAGAAACGTACTTTAGGGACAGAGGATGTTATTCTCGTATTAAAAAAGCATAACATGTTGTGACATTTACTATGTAAATTATAGTTTTTCGTAAGCATTTGCTAAATCCACAGCTTACATATTACATATTACATTGAGGATGATATATTTGATATGTTTTAATAGAACAATATATTTATTGATACATCATACATTTATAATATTAAAATAATCAAATTTATATAATTGGACACAAATATAAGCATAATTAATGCTGTAAATTAAATCATATAATTGCATTTGAGTTATATGCTGGTAAAGCTTTGTAAATGGGATAATACCAAGGGCACGTAGTATGTACGATAATAGTTATAACAATCAGTGAACACAAAATTGTAATATTTTAATATGTATTAGATATTCTTTTGAAATGATCTATTTGATTATTAATCAAAATTGTAATTACTGAATGAACATTATTAGGTCCTTTCTTTTTCTTTTTGGGAGATTATTCAAATTTATTTTTACAATAATTATTGATTTCTGTGAAATCTATCGCATCATTGTTCATTTGATTAGCATGTTTTTTGATATGTATTATTGAATTCAAAAAGTATATCTACATAAGAAAATATTTCTCTTTTTCTCTATATAGTCAAAGTTTACTTTCTCAACGTATTTTTCTCTAACTAGGCATTAGATTTATCTTATCGTATATTACAAAAAAAAAAAAAAATACTATGTGCACAATTATTATAATAGGATTATAAATGCATTATATTGTTTATGAAAATATCCAATTAGGCTCATCATATATTCCCTTTTCATTTTTAAAATAAATATAATTAATTAAATTCAAAGAATTTCAATATATTTCACATTTTTTACAATCGTTGATGTATGTAAAAGAAGGAAAAAAAAAAAAAAGAAGAAGAAGAAGAATCATTCGTACTTATAGAAAATACTAATTTCAAAGGTATTATGAATAAACTAATTAATGTGCATTTTCTACATGATAATATACTTGTGCGAAAAATCGATCATTACAAAATGCGATATTGCACTTTGTACGACTGTTTATTATAAACATTCAGTATGCAACTCATTTTAATTATAATTGTAAGTAATTTATTCATATTTTTTATACCTGCTTGTATATTCTTAAATTTATTCTACATTTAAGACATAACGGATCGTAACGCTATAAACGATAAATTAGTAAGTAGAATATATTTAATTATGTTTCTCGTGGTAAATCTTGTTAATTAAGTTCTACATATTTCTAATTAGGTGTATAAATTAAGCTACTTTACTTGAGTAAATAATAATAACAGTAATAATAGTAAACTAGGCAAAGGAATAAATTTTTATGTTTCTACAAATTTATTTTATTTATATAATTTTGTATAACTTTTTATTTCAACATATTTTCAATTTTATTTTTATTTTTCTTTTCTTTTCTTTTCTTTTCTTTTCTCCTTTTTATTTTAATACACGTAGATTTAACGAATCATTTCTCATTAAGATGCAAGTACTTTTAACAATAATTAATGTAAGTACTTACAGTGTGTATATTCCTGTGTGATATTGGTCATATAAATTTGTGATCAAAATATTAGAAATTATCTATGCATAATTATTCACGCATATTTCAAGACAAATTTTTAATATAAGAAAATACTTCTATCTACAGAAAACAGTGTATTACTGTATATTGGTGCATGATTGTTACTCGAGTTGTTGATGGCCTTCAAAAAAAAAAAAAAAAAAAAAAGATAAAATTAAGACTTCAATGAGTGTGAAGATAAAAATAGTATTAGGTGCATGAATCACACATTACCTGAATTATATTTAAATTAAAT